ACTCTGCTTCTTCTGTGTATTTATGTAGTGGGGTAGGAGGATGTTTCAGGGCCTACTATCTTACCTATGCAGCCAATAGATTTTTGTGAAGAAAATAACACCTCGCTGCCAGTAATGTTAAAATCCTAGATCAATGCAACAATTCAAACCAGCTGGCAGTATGTTCACAGAAAGTAGGTATCAGTTCTGCTGTGAGCAAGCCTAAGGGAACTTGGTCAAGCTTAAAGAGACAAAGAGTAAAAAGGCTGTGGAACTGGGATGCATGGTGAGTGGCTCCCTTTGTACCTATTGGCCATGAAAGCGACTATCTCAGTGTCAAGCTGTGTTGGTGAGTTGGGAAAATGGAGAATGTATCAGTGAGGACTTTTTCTATTATCTGTGACAAAGAACCTAAACTTCTAAAGTAGCTTCAGTAAAAAGGGTACTTATTTTCTCATATATCCAAAAAGACCAGGAGTAGGGCTGGCTGCTGGTACAGCTTAATCAGAGCTCAGACTGTGTCACCAGCACTAGTTTTCCTGCCTTCTTCCAGGTTGACTGCCTTCACAGATAGACTCTTATCATGGTAGCAAGATGGCTTCAGCCAGCCTACATCTTTCCATATTTAAGTCAAGCAAAAAACGAGGTATCTACCTCCCTGTTAGCTCAGACAATGACCCCAGCATTGAGTCTCATTTGTTCCAGTTGGCCAGAATTTAGGTCATATCCCATTCTTGAATCAGTCATGGCAACCAGAGGGGAAGGAACTTAAGCCTGAGACATGTTTTCACTTCCTAGAGCCAAGGGGGAGTCAGCTTTACCTGTAACACCTGAGAAAAGTAGGGCAGAGATAGTTACCTTCAAACAAAATCAGAGTATCATGGCCATATGAAGGGGGAGTGGCTGGTGTGGCAAAAAGCAATTGTCTACTACAGAGGTTGAGGGATAAAAATTAGGGGGAAAAGAGTGTAGAATTAAAATATGCTAACATTCTAGGACTGATCTGTAAGTTTTCAAAGTACGACATTGACTGCCCTAAGAATACAAATACATTTTATTATTTATTTGAGGCTCTCAAATGTTTTTTTTTTTTTTTCATCCTTATCCCTGGGGGCATGGAATGCTGGCAGTCCAGGTTGCACAGGCTACCTGAGTGGCTCAAGGCTTCAACTTGGCCCCTAGAAAAGAACAGTGCCGGCGTAAACACCATGGTGGCCTGCAGGAGAGGCTGCTGCTGACAGGGCACATTTGGTAACAGTAACAAACAAAGCATAAATACAGCCACTTGTGACTGAGCCCTTATCTTTATAACATCACGTGCTGACGTACATCTGTCCTCACAACGTGTAGTCTCCAGCTAAACAGTTAATACTTGGGAGATTGTGTTCCTGGGAGGAAGAGGGGTAGAGTGGGGACTGAGACACTGTCTAGCAGTCTCTGCCACACACTGTTAAATCCCCACTAGTGTGCAGACCTCACGAAGACAGGGTGCGTGTTTGTTCACTGATACCTCCCTGGACAATGCCGAGCCTGTACATGACATTTAATAAATATTTGTGAAATGAGTGAATGCATGGAAGACTTGGAGAAGTTAAGTAACTCTCTCAAGGTCACATAACTAGCTGGGGGCAGAGTTGGGATTCTTTCTTAGCCTGACTCCAGAGCTAATCTTCCTAACTGCTCTGATGGCCGTTTTGGTCAGAGCTGGAGCCCGGCTGTTTGTTGGCAGAGGGTACTCTGTGCCCTTGCTTTTAGATGAGGGAAGGACTTGCAGTGTGAGAAGGGAGAGGGAAGCTGAGGGCCAAAAGATGCCTCTTAAAATCCAGTTAAGCAACTTTTATCCACACAGCTTTCCCCAGTCCAACTTTCCTGTCCTTTTGCAGATTGATGGCATTTTTTAACCTTATTCAAAGTACTGTTGCCATAGCAACTCCAGTGACTCACTTGAGCATCTCTCCTTTGACTCTGGAAGCCAAGGACACACCTTTGGCGGGGACTCCATCTGGCTGCTCCTAACTGGACAAACGCTCCTATCACTTTAGTCTTGGCCTCAAAACTAACTCATCCACAGAGGCAAGAGAACTACTTGTTGGCATAATAACAATTTTGAAATGGTTTCATTCTTTAAACTTTCTTGCAGGAGAGTGCTTGGACCATATCTATGGTGAATACAGACCTGAGCCTGTGAGAGTCAGGCTATCAGTTAAAGGGAAATTAGTACTCAGTTAATTCTTAATTTTCTGCCTGCAGAGGAGTTAGAATAAATTAAGCACTTAGATCCCTGGGACACAAGAAGAGTTCAGCCAGTGTTAGCCATGGTTTTCCTCCCTGTTGAGGGTACCCATAGTCTGCTTTCTTTGGTGTTTAGTTGATGTGCTGTGTATTCCCCAACGGGATTACAATTCTCAATTCCCACTACAATTCTTTCTAAAAATATATTAGTAAGGGAGTTTTCTTTCAAATCAATTTTTTTTCCAATGTATACAAAAACCAGGTAAAAATTATTTATGAATTACCTGCTGTATAGATTATTTGCATGCCTACAGCCATCTACATTTTTAACAAGTACTTTAAGTTGTATAGGTGATACAGAAATAATTTCTCCTTGTTGAAAATTACAGATAAGGCTTAAGTCATCTTTGCCTGTCTTCTTCAGTCCCCATTTCTCCCTGGCTGTTACTGTTTTCAGTTTGGCATTTATCTTTATAGAGCTTTTTCATTCTATTCTTACTTAAATTCCATCAGCATGTGTAATGTACCTGTCACATGCCAGGCCAGGACTATAAAGATAAAAAAGATGTAGCCCTTACCCTCAGAGAGTCTACTGTCTCTAGGGGCACATTCTCAACTGGCAATAACATAGCTAGGGAAAGCCACAGAAAGGAGGTAACATTAGGCTTGGCATTGAAGGATGCCTCTGATTCTGGGCAGAGATGAGATGATGTGAGATGGAAGGGCATTCTAGTAAGACATAGACATTGGACATTGGAAACTTTTGAGATCTAGGTTGTATCTGGCTAGAATGTGTGATTTTGGGGAGAAGTGTTTGGAAATAAGAGTTTCAATAATGTCATAGTTCATATTCAGTGGAGCGTATTCTCCTTAGTAAACCTTTTTTGTGAGATTTCTGCTTACAAAGCCAGAGAAAGCCCTTGGAACAGCCTGAGTTATAGCAGGTTTGGTTTGTCCAGTACTAGTTGTCCTAATTAACGTATGCATTTGCATGCTTTCGTGCAGTGATCTCAAACTCAGATACATGAAGCAGTAAAGCAGGAAGGGGAGAAGGTGGCAAACTGCAGTGCTAGTTGGGGGAGGAACCAGAAACTTGGATTTCTGTGTGAAATCCCCTGATTTTAAATGGCTTCTGTTTTTACAAAAACACCACATGGGCCAGACTGGCAGTGCCGGTTTACAAACTCAGCTTTTGTGTATGTAACTTACAATCATGGACATTAAGGATTGACTTCTGTAAAAGATGCTCCCCTCTAAGTGCTCTACATTTTTTTAATCAGTCAGGTATTGCTGTATAACAAATACCCCAAAACTCCATAGCTTAAAAAAATAAGCATTTATTATTACTCAGAAGTCTATGGGGCAACTTGGTAGTTCTTTTGGTCTTGCCGGACTCACTAATGCATTTGTGGTCATCTGTGGCTCGGATTGGTAGCTCTGCTGATCCTGGCTGGACTCTCTCAAGTGTTTGGGATGTGGTTGGCTACAGGCTGGTCTAAGATGGCCTCAGATGAAACAGTTGGGTTTCCCTTCACTTGGTCTCTTATCCTCCAGCAAACCCAGGATTGTTCTCAGGTCATTGGTCAGTTGAGAGTGGACATAAACCATGCTTCTTGAGGCTTATTCATGGAACTGGCACCCTGGCGTTTCCACTAGATTCTATAATGGCCAGCAAGTCTTAAGGCCAGCCCAGATTCAAGGGATGGGGAAATACACTTCAGCCTTTGATAGGAGGGAACTGCAAAGCCACTTTACAAAGGGCATGGATACAGGGAGGGGTAAAAAATTGGGAACGGTATTGCAGTCAACCTACTACAATTGTTCTTTTTTAAAAAAAAATTAGGTACTTTAATAATGGGACAGATAAATATATCTTTTTTTTCCCCTTTCAGATAAACGAATTCAGCTATATATGAAAAGCCTACTTTGTCTTCCAATCCCTCAAAAATGCATGCCTCCCATGCCAGGAGGCCTTGCTGTCATCCAGCAGGAGCTAGAAGCCATAGGCTCTCAGTATGCAAACGTTGTGAATCTCAACAAACAAGTGTATGGACCATTTTATGCAAATATACTTCGAAAGCTGCTCTTCAGGGAGGAACCCATGGGGAAAGTAGATGCTACACCTCCTACTAACTAAAGTGGAACCGACACTGGATAAGAGATTGGAAATCCAACACTTTGGTACCCAGTCCATTTCCATGGATGGCATTATAGACGTGGCACATTCTCAGTACTGTCCGTGGTGCAGTGTTAGCCCAAATCTGTGTAATCTCGTAATATTAGCATTACAGAAGACACATTGCATAGACTAGAACTAGATCCTATTTGTGCATCATTTTCAAGTTTAAAATAGATGTTTGTAATGAACAGAAAGCAATTTGTAATTAATTATATTACCTACATAATATTTGTAAATGTTTTCTTAAGCATTTATATTTGGCTTATTCATTCAAGCCATACGAAGTTGTTTTTCTTACTTGTCATTATCAAATCTAAGGATTTTTAATTTTGGTACAACTTCTTAAAGGGTTGAAAATTGTGAGAATAACCAAGGGAACCGATGTTCTGAATAAACGATGTGAAGTAAACGTAAGTTACATTTTATTAATGTGTAATAGAAACTTACATAGTAAATCTTAAAATTCCACAAATGTACCAAGTCACATTTTATAATGCCAATTGTCAGTATTTATTTAGATTTTAAATTTATTAAGTACATTTTAATGCTATATACAAATTTTAGATAAAACCCTTGTTTGTTTAGTGAAAATAGAAACAAATCCCTTCTAAAATTGTATTCTAGAGGTTGGCTTCTTTTTACAAATTAACCTGCTCTCTGTAGAAAACCAATTTTTGCACAAATCTCTTAGTGAATGTCCTTGCATTTCTCAGGCCATTGATAAGGTTTATATAAAATTTTAGTATTTTTATGTAAGGCAGGACTGGTTTGAATTGGTTTACTTATAAGAAGGAGAAGGGAAGTTAACAATAAAATAAAATCCCATTCTCCACGAAGTTCACATCTAAGAAAGAAACAGTTGAACTTTGATTTTCTTACCCATATAACTTAACTAGCAAAAGTGTTTTGTGCTGATTAAATCCTTACCATGTTGTGACCAAGATGGTCTTCTAAGTATCATTATCATTTGCCATTCTTGAGCACTAAAGCAAACCTTGGAAGCCTGGGCACTAGGTGTCATTGGGATCTTAGAGAAATCTGCTTATCCTGGAATTACATACTCCTTTTGGAGTGTTGAGGGAAGCACTACAGTTGAGGTCACTCTGTCTAAAAAGTGCTTTGTATAAAATACATTTTTTATTATTTCTAAGGACTCAATGGAACCTTAGTAATTTGTTGAGGAAGAGTAGGTAGGAAGTAAAAAGGAGTATTCCTTTCTTCCTCAAGCTCCTTTTCCTCACCTCAACCTTCACTATTATAGTGTTACTTCATTATTTTATAAAGTTCTAGGAAATGATTGAATAAATTGTCTCCAATCTTTGCATTTTGGGGGATCTGCCAAAATTTGAGGAAATTCTGAAGGTCAAGTTTTTTTCCACAATGTCCAATACATAAATCAGCCATTCTCTCCATTTAAGCAGCTGTGTGTAAGTGGAATTTTACTGAAGAGCACATGGTCTTAGCCATTTTTTTCTCTTCCTACAATCTTGTTCTGCCCATGTTTTCCTGTGCTTAGAAACCATAAGGTGCTGAAGACTTTTGTTTTCATTTTCTCTTAAGCTGAAGTAGTTTTCAGCTGTGCTCACTTCAGGGCATGGGTTGGGGGGGTTCTGACAGTAGAAAGTTAATATGTAGTGTGATTTTTTTGTTGTTGCTGAGGTGAACTATATACTTAACAGGTGGTGTACTTTTTATTACCAGATTGGAATCCAGCTGATATTCTTTTATATACTTGATTATACTGCTATTGCCAATAGGAAAACAATATACAGACATTTTTAAAAACATTTAAAATGAAGGGCATTCTGCTTTTTTTTTTTTTTTCTTAAGTGGCAAAGTAAATCTCAATGTCTCAAGCCTGAATTTAGGCAACTACATTTATTGAGATTTTTTAATCATATCTGTTAGCTTGTTGTTTATTTGGTTTTTACTTAAATGTTTACTTCTACTTTTAAGGTTTTCCTAACATGGTCTTGTTTTGTGACATAAATTTTATTAAACACCGTACATACATTGTCATTCTTCTACTGTTAAAACATGTATTGTGTGCACTTACTAAATTTTAAAACATTAAAAATTATTTCAAGATAGCCAGTGTCTCTGTTTTTTAACCACCTTTGGGTAGTTGGGGCTGAAATATTGGACAGTCTTGTTGTAGTTGTTCTAGAATGATTCTTGTGCTGATCATCAGAGCCTTACAGACATCAGGCCATGTTCGTTCATTCCTTGAATTAACAAACACCTATTAAGCATCTAATATGTGCCAATAAATATTCTAGTTGTTGTGATACACAGATGCTTAGACAGAGACACTGTCCTCAAGAAGTTTATAATCTAATAAGAGGGACAAACTTGTGAATAATCACAAAAAAAAGTGTATTAGGGTATAAAACAAGTATGCATAGTCCTAGAGAAAAAACTGTCAAACTCTATTTCATGGAGAAGATAATTCTTGAGCTAAAACATGAAGGATACATAAGAACTTGCCAAGAAAGGGAAAAGCACAACAGCAAGTTCACAGTAAGTACAATGGGATGGAGAAATGGCGAGCCCAGGGACCAGCATAAGGCAGAAGAGTGAAAGTGATGAGAGGTGCAACAAGAAGGGTGTAAAAGTTCTTGGATGCCATGCTAAAATTTGTGGGGTTTTTTATCCCTAAATGGGATAATTATTGAATCTTTTGAAATAGGAGAAGATCATAAATATATGTTTTGGAAAGATTGCCCTGTCAAAGAGCACTTGTTGGTGCTATAATATTCCTACGTGTGTATATATTGCATACATGCATTCACACATGAATATATGATACAAGCAATAGAAATGGACTCCAGTTAACTGAAGCAGAAAAGGAGTTTAACTGGATGAGTATTAAGTACCTCACAGAATCTAATCAGAGGAACCAGGCTTGGAAACTGGGTAGGAACCAAGGTGATGAAAGCTGCAGGAATCCAGCCAAGCTGGATTCAGTGTTGTGGCTTCAGAGATTGATTTTTCAACGTCTTTGCTTCTTCACGTCATTTTCTTAAAATTTAAAATCCCAGATTTGAGTTGTGAGTCTCATTGAGTTGTGAGTCTAGGTCAAATGTCCAGGCTCTAATTTGCAGGAGATGGAATGAGAGAGTAGCTCCTTACACTCCTGTGGTCCCACCAAAGTCATCTAATTAGGGATTTCTCCCAAATAGGAAGGGTATGCTGAGGAGCAGAAAAACAAAAACAAAACCACTATAACAAACATTCATGAGGTCTTTAACACTTGAATGTGAGACGTGTGTGAGGAGAACACCAAAACCAGCAATGCTTCTGAGAATGATACAAAAGATGATTTAAGGAAAGGCATAGTTACACAAAGTCAACCTTTATTAGTGTGTGTAGATGAACTGCTGAACAAACAGCCCACAAGTCTCAGTGGCCTCAGTATAAACTCATTTCTCATAGTTCAAAGAAGGGGGAAGGGATGGAGTGCAGGGGGCTGCTCCATTCAACCATCCAGAAACCCAACTTCCATCCATCTTCTAGATATTCAGTCCATTCACTCAGCTGGTAAGGAAAGAAAAGGATTGCCCATTTCCACTCACCTTCCATTGGCCAGAATTCAATCACATGGCCTCATCTTACTGCAAGGGAGGCTGGAAAATCTGCCCAGGGGAAAGAGGTTCGCATGGATATTGGTAAACATTAGCAGTTTCCACCTCAGATCCCTCCACCTTTCTTGAACAAGCAACAGTGAACCTACTCTTCATGAAAAATAGGTTTAAAATCATGTGCCTGCTCTGATATTTTGGTGGTAGCCTCCCAGAGCTGTTGAGAGGATTTGGAAGCCAGATCCAGGGTAATCAATAAAGAGTTCTGTGGTTGGTTGAGAAAGTATGCCACGGACATGGGGAGAGCCACTTTTTGTGCAACGTATTTTTACTTCTCTCTTGCATCTTTCTCAAAACTAAAGTTCAGCCTGTTCTACCTCTGAGGTTGTTAAGTTCCAAAATTTTCTACTCATTGTTTAGTAAAAGTAGCATGGGACTAAGAGTCACAAGAACTGAGCTTGAATTCACTCCTACAACTTAATAGCTATATGAACTCAAGCCAGTCTTTTAGTCTCCATGAACCTCAGTTTTCCACCCTAACTACCTACCTTACCACCTGCCTACCTTGAAGAGATATTGTGAGAATCAAATGAGATACATTTGAAATGGTTTGCACACTCTAAAGCATAATGTAGCCAGAGCACATTATAATAACTGTAATTTATGAGTCTTAAATCTCTTTCAAGCTTCAAGGGGTTTTAGTATTTTGAGATGTGATGATCAAGTACTTAACTACGTAAGAACAAAAATTGTCCTATCTCTTCAGCACCATGGTTCGTTAAGCCCAATATTGTCATTGGCAGAGAAACTCAAGGGTATGCAGAAGGCTGCAGTTATTGTCCTTGATGTCAACTTCAAAGGATAGTGACAAAACTAGACATGTTCTAATTTCATTTAGTAATCATTTATGACCTTATCCTCCATGATTTAATCTAATCTTTCAAAAATATATTTATATTATTAACTTGTACCCTTTTGTTCTCTATTTTTGGAGTGAAGCTTTATCTTTTCATTTCTAAATTTACTACGTTAACCTCTTTCAGATTTCAAGGGAAAGGAACATAGGGATTTATTGTAAGGCTTTATGAAAAAGAAAGGAAACATAAGAATTTGTCTCAGCAGCTGCATTTGCAGGCATGGTGAACGTGAATATAATAAAATAGCCACTGAGCACTTACCTTATGGCAGGGCCCGCCCTATGTACTTTATATAAATTATCTCACGTAACTGCACAGCATGCTGTGAGGCAGGCTCTATCATTATTTACATATGTGCAAAATGAGACTCAGGCTAAGGAAGTTGCCCAAGGTCACAGAGTTGGTAAGTATATTCGAACCTCAGGAGTCTAACCCTGGAATGTGTGCTCTTAACTACTTACTGTATTGGTATCCAATCAAAAGTATTTTTCACTGTCGTGTTGCTACCAAATGCTGACTTGGCATTTACTTCTCAGGTTCTGTTCTGCTCTCCTTTTTGATGTGTTGTAATTAAAAATACCCCAAGAGAAAGAATATGATTGTTTACTGGCCACTAATCAGTATGGACACCCCTCTCCCCCATACATCGGATAGGGCTCTCACGATCAGCTACCTCAGCTCCCTCACATCCAGCCATGTAGGCTGGTACCTGGCCCTATTGGGCAGGTACCTGGCCCAATTGGTTTTGACAGGATAATAAGGCCACACCACACAAAGCAAGGCTTTTCAGAGAAAGTTCTGTGGGTATGGCAGGCAGCTGAAAGTTTCTGGACTACACGGGCTTGCTCAAAATGCAGAATGTTCTCTGATTACAGTATGTAGAGACTTCTGTCCCTGTTCACCCTCACCTTGCTGTTTGTGAAATAACTTCCAGGACTCTCCCTCTGCCCTTGCCTTTTCAGATGGAAGAGTCTTTCTCCGATGTTGTTTCTGGTCTTCTCTGGTTCTGCTATGAATTTACTCAGGTATAGCAATCAGAACCATACTTTTTTTTTTCCCCAGTCTGAATGCACCAAGGTTTTAAGAAGTGAAAAGGTTTTTCTTTTGTTTCTAGCATCTTCATGTTGAAGCCTCTCAGAATAAAATCTAGTTTCTTTAACATGGCACAAGGGCCAAAAATGGCCCAGCTCCAGTGGATCTTTCTAGTGTCACATACAGACATTTCCCCCAGCCCTACGTGAGAACCACACTCAATTGTCAGTAGTGGTATAACGAACTCAAAGCCCTCATGCTATTGCTCAGGCTGTTTCTCTCTGTTTGAAATGTCTTCTGTTAACCCATGCTTTCAGTGTGATATTATGATATAGTGGTTAAAAACATGCATTGTGGGGTCAAAAAATTATGGGTTTAAATTCCAACTCTACTTGCATGAATTTCTTAAGCCTGTGAGCCTTAGTCTCCTCACCTGTCAAGTGGGGATAATCATACTTATTCCCCAAGGGGTGATCATTCAGTTAAAGAATGCACAGGAAGTGGTTATTCCAATGCCTGACAAAGAGTAAACACTCAGAAATGGAAGCTCTCCCTAATATTTCGGGGCCCAGCTTGGACACCTCTGCCTTTCCCTTTCCCTTGATTTTCCTTAACCAGTTTTCCCTGTTCCCCCACCCCTGCCCTACAGCATTGGTCAATTTCTCATCTGGCAACCACAACACTTTATAGATTAGTGATGGGATTAGTATTCCAAGATGTTAATCATTTTCCCTCTGGGATCTCCTTTCCCTAATTTCCCAGCCCTCTATTCAAACCCCCAATCTTTTTGTATCAATGTCTCAGGAAAAGGGGGTGTGACAGCAGAAAAGAGAGGAATCATGAGACTGCTCTTGGCTTCTTGGTTTCAAAAATCCAGCCCCTTAGGGGACCAGAAAGAAGTCATAGATTTGACCCGGAGTTTTAAGTGTAATACAGGAAGGATTGTGAGAGATTGTGGTAGCTGTGGTCTAAGGGCTGACACCACTCAGCATCAGCCAATTGTTGCCAGGTAGAACTTTGGGACCCACTGTTACCAGAGGCTTCTACTTTACAACAGAAACTAAAAAATAAAAAATAAAGAAAAATCAGATTAAAAAATGTGACTATAACATCAAACTTATTATCATCCATTGCATTTTTTCTTTCAAAATATTTACTCAACAAAAATTTATTCAGGAACAAATGATGGGTTAGAACCTGGGGATACAAACAAGACAGTTCCTCTTTTAGGAGCTTATAGTCTGAAGGAGAATTAGACACATAAACATAGGATTATGGTATTGAGTGATAATTCTTAGGTTAGAGTAGTGATTTCCAAAGTGTGATCACTGGACCAGCAGCAGCAGCAACTGGGAACTTAGAAATGCAAATTTGTAGGCCCCAGCCTACCAATCAGAAAGCTGAGATTGTTTTAACAAGGGCTCCAAATGATTCTGACACATGCTAAAGTTGGAGAACTACCTGGATAGTGGAAAGGAAAGAGGACTTTGGAGCAGAGATCCAATATGCCTGAGCCAACCTTGAGATCCTCTCCCACCTATAAATCACTTTCACAGTCCATTACAGGCTAGCTCCTAAATAGGCTACAATCTGGTAATTTGAAAGGATAATATATACAAGTTATTTCTTGTCTTTGTAGGTAAATTGTAAGAACTTCAAAGACAAGGATGATTCTGTTATTTATTTTTTCCTTTCTTCTCCTACTTTTGGATGTCAGCACAACACTTAGAAAACACAAGCACTGAAGTTTAAGTAGCTAATTTGGAAATAAGACTAACTTGTGAAAGTTAGTTTTCTCCTTTACGGGAAGAAATTGGAAAGTATATATGCATTTACAAATTTTCGTAACTTTTTTATTATAGTAAGATATAAATAAAACTTAACCCCATTTTAATCATTAAAAATGATGTACAGTTCAGCAGCATTAAATACATTCACACTGTTGTGTAACCATTACCATCAACTATCATCCATCTCCAGAATTTCTGCATCTTTCCAAATTGAAACTCTGTATCCATTAAATAACTGTTGGTAACTCTTGCCTTGTTTTTCCCAATGGGTTTTCCCCCCTATTGATTTGTATGAGCTCAGTTTTTTTTTTTTTTTTTTTTTTGAGACAGAGTCTCACTCTGTTGCCCTGAGTAGAGTGCGTTGGGGTCTGCCTAGCTCACAGCAAACTCAGACTCCTGGGCTAAAGCGATTCTCCTGCCTCAGCCTCCTGAGTAGGTAGGACTACAGGCACGTGCCACGATGCCAGGCTAGTTTTTCTATTTTTAGTAGAGATGGGGTCTCACTCTTGCTCAGGCTGGTCTCAAACTTCTGAGCTCAAGCAGTCCTCCCGCCTCGGCTTCCCTGTATGAGCTCATTTTAAGTTAGGAAGACCAGCCCTTTGTCTTCTGTCAACTTGTGTTTTTAAAAAACTCTGCTCACGGTGGGTTTTAAAAATCTATTCAGAAAATCTTAAATTTTTCATGGAGTCATTAAACCATGTTTGGAATTATATTATAAAATCCTTTATAATTTCTGATTGTGTTGCAGTCCTTGAAGGCCTTCACCATCTGTGTTATGCATATATTCACTTACATTTTCTTCGAAGGTTTTGTTAACATTTAAATATTTAATCCACATAGGATTTACTTAGATGTACTTTTTCCCCCAAAATGGCTAATCAGCTGTTCTAACATCATTTACTGGATAGGCTCTCTTTCCCTTACTAATTTAAATGTCATCTTTTCATACTAAATTTCTCTATATGCTGGTATTTACTCCCAGATATTCCATCTATTAACAGTACTTTGAGAATTTAACAATTGCTGTCCTGTTATGCCCTACTCTCTAGTGCTAATTCCCACCCCCCCTTATAGTTATTTGGATGGTTGTGATTCCATCACATGCATGTGCCATCATTTATTTTACCGATTCCCCATCACTAGGCATTTGGGAAGTTTCCCGCATTTCCATACGACACAACGCATATCGTTTCAGACTGACTCAAATGAACACTCTGCCTCAGTGGTTCAAGTTGTGCAAATTATCCGTTTACATTTCTCTTCGAATTACTTTTACAACCACTATGTTTTGTTGGTCTCAATTATGGGAGAATTGACAGACCTGTCAGCCGCAGTTCAGTATTACCCGGGCCAGACCTCCAAGCTACACCAAGGGGCGGAGTTTCCTGGCACCGCTCGGCCATATCCGGCTTCTACCGTCGGTTCCGGGAGCAGACGGAACCTTATTGTCGCACCTCCACCTAACACGCGCAGCGGGGACAGTTTAGGCCTTTGCGCACCGCTCTCCACGAGTGCTGCAGCTTGCTTGGGGCAGCGAAGGCGGGCGTGGAGGGTCTGTTTTTTCGTCCGTCGTGAGCGGCATGGACGTGCTTGCGGAGGAGTTTGGAAACCTAACCCCGGAGCAGCTGGCTGCGCCCATCCCGACTGTAGAGGTGAGTTCCCAGCACGCGGGGAGCGGAAGGGGCTGGGATGCGTTTTGAGGGGGCGTTGCCCTTAGTGCTCGGGCCGCCAAGTGGGGCGGGCCGGCCGGCTGGCCGGCCATTTCTGCGCATGCTCGGGCTTCCGCGCATGCTCAGAGTTTCGCAAGTGTGAGCGCTTTTCCGAGCCGGCCTCCGGGTGGGCGTTGCAGGGCTGACCCTGCAGGATCTGTCAGCTGCTGTGGGGGCCAAGGACCCCTCAGATGGCCCTCGGACTGGGACTCTTCCAGTGTGGGAGTGCGGCGGGTGAATTGGCCCTAGCACCCACCTTGGGCGACGTATCGCACCTTTAAAGGCTTGAAAAGGACAGTGAGGTCTAGGGAGCTTTAGGCCACTTTCATGAGGTACCACAGCTGTCTGTGGTGGTAAAACCAAATCGTCTGAATATTAGGCTGGTAATCTCGTCTTTTAACCCGGAGTTCAAGTTTGGGCTACAGGAGTATTTTAAACGCCCTGTTTGTTTACTCAAAAAATTGCCTGTGTGTTATCTTGAGGGGGAGGGGGGGCTCCATAGCTTTCATCCGATTTTCAGAACTTAAAGATAGCAGCTGCCCTTCAGTAAGCTGCCCAATGAAGTGCAGCTGTTGACATACTTTGTTCTCTGGAAAGGCATGTATTATAGTCTCTCTGAGCCTCAAAATCTTCATTAGCCTGGAATGGTGAAGTGGAGAAATGGGGCTGGGGAAGACAGTCAAGGGAGGAATTTCAGGTGGAGGGAACCGGATACTGGAAACCCCCTAAGCAAGACCATTTGGAGTTTTTGAGGAACTAAAGTAAACCCAATCGTACTAGAGTGAAGAAAAATAGAGGAGGAGACATAAAAAATAAAGAATAGATAAGGGTCCTGACTATGAAAGGTTCTATTAAACATCTGAAGGAGCTTGGACTTTCTCCTGGGAGCTGTGAGATGCTTTTGAAGGCTTTAAAAACGAGAATGACTCTATTAGATTATTTGGCAGCTTAATGAAGTTGAGGTATAATCAGTCCATCAGATTCAGTCTACGGGTACATGTGATACACCCCTGATGATCATCAGGCAACACTGGGTTTTAGCCTTGAAGAGTTAATATCAAGAGCCAGCATTTACTGAGCACTTACTATCTGACAGGCTTTGTTTAACCATAACATACATTACATTATTTCATCCTCTGAAATATGTATCACATTTACCCCTGTTTTGCCACAGAGGACCAAAGAGGTTAAAGTATAGTTCGAGTTACCGGTGTTAGAACTCTGGTAAGTGGCTGATCTGGAGTTTGGACTCTGTCATTCTGACTTCAGAGTCTGTATCCTTAACTGCTGACAGAACCACTTCTCCAGAGAGCTGAAGAAATAAGGCTAGAAGATTTATATTGTCAAAATTTGCTCAGCTGTGAAGGAACCGTACCTCAATTTCAGTCTTCTGATGCAGGAATAACAGTTCCTTTTCCTGGCCCACTGCATCCAGTCACATCTTAAAGGCCCTGCGTTCTGAATAAATGCAAATCTGAAGCTACATTCCCCCTGTTTTCCAACTCTGAACCACTATCATTGCTTACATCCACTTGCTTGTCTGGCTTCTGACTTGTCCCACTCCAGTCTGTGCTCTGTAGCTAGAGCCATCAGTTTAAACACACATGTATAGTTATGGTGATCTTTTGGTTAGAATTCTTCGATCTCTGCCCATTGCTCTGAGGGCAAAATCTAGTCTTTACCATGTTTGTAATAAATTTCCTCAGTCTGGTCACTGCTTACTTCTGTAGCCTTTTTTCCACCATTCCTCTATCTCCCTGCCCTGAGGTCTTTCTACTGTACTCATACAGTTCCTTCTGGATCTTTCTCTCCTTCCTATTTGTAGATTAAATCCTATGTATCTATGATATGACTTCCTTAGGAAGGCCTTCCCTGATTCTCCCTGAAGACGTTAGAGCTCTGGGCTATTTGCTGCCATGGTACCCTGTTCTTTCTTAACACTGGTAGTTACTTGTTTCTCTTCCCACTAAACTTTTTCCTGCTGCTTTAGTCTCTGTGTCATCAGTTCTTAACATTCTTATTGAGTGAATGAATATGAAGAATAACTTTATTGCCTTTTCCAAAGCAGAGTATCTAGAATGGCATGAAGGGGCTCAGAAAGTGACATTTCACTTATTTATATTGTTGAATATTCTCTTTGCATTTTTGATTTTGTGAGGTAAACACTATAATTTCAGTGTCAAATTAATCTGAACAGTACTCTATTAGAGAAATTTTTTAATAATGCTGAGTTTTCTCTGAATGGAAAATGGCATTTCCTTTTTATTGAGAGATTAAAATGGTTTTCTCTGCAGCTTTTTCTAGATAGGGGCTCAGTTTTACTTGAACCAACCAACAACTTGCCTTGTATATTTTGGCTATGTTCTGTATGGTAGCATGGCAGCATGGTAGGAGAAATAACACAAGCTTTGGAGCCAGTTAATCATTTGTTGAACAAATATTTATCAGTATTATTGAGTACTTTAACCTGGTGGCGTATCACCCACAGGGTTTACACAAGTTCAAAAAACTTCCAGGAGCTTGCAGGTTTATAGGGGAGACATGTAAGCAGGTGGAATAACATGCAGTAGGTGCTGTGATAAAAGTAGGCAGAGGGATATGTTGGTATTACATGTGGTAGCTGGGATGTGATCCCTGAACTGAGTCTTGATGGATGTGGATGAAGTGTCATGGTAGGGGAGGCTTTCTAAACAGAAGCAGCATTGCGACAAGAGCCTGCACTGTGCTGTCGGAGCTGGGCAAAAGGTGAGGCTGGAGGTGTGCGTCTCTGTGTCCAAATTTCCCCTCTTTATAAGGACACCAGTAGTAGTAGATTAAGGTTCCCCCTAATGACCTCCTCTTAACCATAGGAATTACATCTGGGACAACCTGTTTCTAAATAAGGTCACATTCTGAGGTACTGGGGGTTAGTACTTCAACATGTGAATTTTGGGAGGGACACAATTTGGCTTATATCAGTTGTCATTCCCTTCTTATGTTCCTTTTTTTTCCTTTTAAATGCATCCTTTTAAATTTTTTTTTTTTTTTTTTTTTTTTTTTGAGGCAGGGTCTTACTGTGTCACCCAGGTTGGAGTGCAATGGGACAGTTATAGTTTACTTCAACCTTAAACTCCTGGGCTCAAGTGA